AGAGGCAACTGAATGGATCCCTGTCAGAATAGACACCCAGCTCTTTATAGCTTGGCATCAGCTCGAGACAACTGAATGGATCTTTGTTGGAATAGACACCCAGCTCTTTATAGCTTGGCATCAGAGGCAACTGAATGGATCCCTGTCAGAATAGACACCCAGCTCTTTATAGCTTGGCATCAGAGGCAACTGAATGGATCCCTGTCGGAATAGACACCAAGGTCTTTATAGCTTGGCATCAGAGGCAACTGAATGGATCCCTGTCAGAATAGACACCCAGGTCTTTATAGCTTGGCATCAGAGGCAACTGAATGGATCCCTGTCAGAATAGACTCCCAGGTCTTTATAGCTTGGCATCAGAGACAACTGAATGAATCCCTGTCAGAATAGACTCCCAGGTCTTTATAGCTTGGCATCAGAGACAACTGAATGGATCCCTGTCAGAATAGACACCCAGCTCTTTATAGCTTGGAATCAGAGGCAACTGAATGGATCCCTGTCAGAATAGACACCCAGGTCTTTATAGCTTGGCATCAGAGGCAACTAAATGGATCCCTGTCAGAATAGACACCCAGCTCTTTATAGCTTGGCATCAGAGACAACTGAATGGATCTTTGTTGGAATAGACACCCAGCTCTTTATAGCTTGGCATCAGAGGCAACTGAATGAATCCCTGTCAGAATAGACACCCAGCTCTTTATAGCTTGGCATCAGAGACAACTGAATGGATCTTTGTTGGAATAGACACCCAGCTCTTTATAGCTTGGCATCAGAGGCAACTGAATGGATCCCTGTCAGAATAGACACCCAGCTCTTTATAGCTTGGCATCAGAGGCAACTGAATGGATCCCTGTCAGAATAGACTCCCAGGTCTTTATAGCTTGGCATCAGAGGCAACTGAATGGATCCCTGTCAGAATAGACACCCAGCTCTTTATAGCTTGGAATCAGAGGCAACTGAATGGATCCCTGTCAGAATAGACACCCAGGTCTTTATAGCTTGGCATCAGAGGCAACTAAATGGATCCCTGTCAGAATAGACTCCCAGGTCTTTAAAGCTTGGCATCAGAGGCAACTGAATGAATCCCTGTCAGAATAGACACCCAGCTCTTTATAGCTTGGCATCAGAGACAACTGAATGGATCTTTGTTGGAATAGACACCCAGCTCTTTATAGCTTGGCATCAGAGGCAACTGAATGAATCCCTGTCAGAATAGACACCCAGCTCTTTATAGCTTGGCATCAGAGACAACTGAATGGATCTTTGTTGGAATAGACACCCAGCTCTTTATAGCTTGGCATCAGAGGCAACTGAATGGATCCCTGTCAGAATAGACACCCAGCTCTTTATAGCTTGGCATCAGAGGCAACTGAATGGATCCCTGTCAGAATAGACTCCCAGCTCTTTATAGCTTGGCATCAGAGGCAACTGAATGGATCCCTGTCAGAATAGACACCCAGCTCTTTATAGCTTGGCATCAGCTCGAGACAACTGAATGGATCTTTGTTGGAATAGACACCCAGCTCTCTATAGCTTGGCATCAGAGGCAACTGAATGGATCTTTGTTTTGAATAGGAACCTTTCTCTATCTTGTCGTAAGGTTATGTCTTGTTGGATAGTACCAGTCACTCTGTATGATGTCGTTATAGGGGACCAAATATATCCTTGTTGTAATAGGTACACAACACTTTATATCTTGTCTCTAGAGACGACTAAAGGATCCTGATTAGAACAGATACCCAGCATTCTTTGTCTTGTCGTTAGGTGTGACCAACAGGATTCTGATTAGAACAGATACCCAGCAATCTATATCCTTATCGTTAGAGACGACCAAATGGATTCTAGTAAGAACAGATACCCAACAATCTATATCTTGTCGTTAGAGACGACCAAATGGATTCTGATTAGAACAGATACCCATGAATCTATATCTTGTCGTTAGAGACGACTAAATGGATCCCGGTAAGAACAGATACCCAGCAATCTATATCTTGTCGGTAGAGACGACAAAATGGATCCTGATAAAAACAGATACCCATGAATCTATATCTTGTCGTTAGAGACGACTAAATGGATCCCGGTAAGAACAGATACCCAGGAATCTATGTCTTGTCGTTAGAGACGAATAAATGGATCTGGTAAGAACAGATACCCAGCAATCTATATCCTGTCGTTAGAGACGACCAAATGAGTCCTGGTTAGAACAGACACCCAGCAATCTATATCTTTTCGTTAGAGGCGACTAAATGCATCCTGGTAAAAACAGATACCCAGCATTCCATGTCTTGTCGTTAGAGGCGACTAATTTGATCTGGTTATAACACAGATGTAGGCGTGTCGACGTACCCCCACGGCATGGAACGGTTCTCATGGTACGAATCAGCGGATTTAGTCAAGATCTGATTATTTACGGGCTGTCGTCAAGTTCAGTGTCAAGTGTGGTCAGTGTGTTCACACAAGTTCATCAGTTATGGCAATCGGCAAACGTGTATGACGACGTCTTTGTTCGTGGGAACCTTGCCAAATAATCTTACAAGCAAAACACTGCTCACCCACTTGTGAAAATCACTTGTTCAATATTAGCGGTTTGGGTGAATACATGACACTGATCTTATACTAGCATATGTTTAAAATATTGCGCCATTTCGTGTAACAATACTGTAAATCTGTAAATTTTTGTCGGTGACCTGACCAATCGCATTTGAATATGCCTTATTAAATTTTTAAAAATCCAGCTTTTGATTTCATGGAAGTTAGATTACATGTCAAACAGCTGAAATTAAGTCCAGATGATATCGTTCACTGAATAGTTTTCAAAGTCCAGGGGTAGGGCTACTCGCATTAATTTCATGCCGCATTTAGGTCAGGAGTCGACACTCGCATGAATTTGTTGACGCATTGATTTTATGCTGAACACTGCCTTGAGTATTGTCCTGTTTGACATCATATTTCCTCTCCGATACTCTGGTTCTCTCGCTGTAAATCTCACTCTCTTCCCTCATGGTAAACCCCCATCGATTTTCTCAGTACCTGCAGGCAATATTTAGCTATCTGACACTCTCACAGCAGCTGTATGGTTCTTCTTTCGCTTCCATGATAGTCCTAACCTCTATTAGCTCTTCGCCTCTGTCACTGCCGTACTCTTCATCTCAGTTAAGAGTTTGAATCCCGATTATATTTCTTGGTTTGTTAGCACCACACCGTGCTCGTGTGTTTCACTAAACTGGTTAACTTCTAAGACCTGCATCACTTCGGGAATTCCTCCCAAATCAAGCTGACAGGCCATGATGTAACTACAATCGGCGCTAAACACACTCACACATCTCTGTTACTCTTCATCGTCTTGGATTTCTTTTATTATCTAACATGCTCTCGTATTCTATTTAGCGTTTTGTTCCTGTCACACTCCACGTGGCTCACGTGTAAACTCTTTCTCCCTGTGGTACGGTGACCGAGTCGTCGAAAGCGCCGGAATTCCCTGTGCAGAGTTGCGCCCCTTGGCCACGTCAGAATCCGATGATCGTGAGTTCGATGCTCTGTTGGCCCTGATTATGTTTCCAGGTTTGTCAGTACCATATCCGTGCTCGTGGATTACACCAAAATGGTAAACGTCAAGCTTCACTTACGGCTTTCCTCACACATCAAAGGATGTTCCTCGTGGAACACCTGGGTCACCTGCATATTTACACATGTCCTGGTATGAGAGTGATGAAAATGATCTTAAAACCCCTCTCATTCTATACATAGTCCTCTTCCCGAGGCAAGGGAGTTAACTGACTGTAAAATCCAGTTTTCACCCTTGCCGAACTAGGCTGGAATTTCTGGGCTCGATCATAGCGCCACCAGCGGCTCTTACGAGTTATGTCCCTTCAATGTCCCCCTTTGACCAATGAGATTCCACCTCTCTAATGATACATATTATTCACTGGTAACACAAGCACTGTAACTTTTATGAAAATAGAAACATTTTAATCTTGTAAAAAAAACTTGACGATTCGAATAAATAACATTTAAATTGTAAAAATATCAGCAAATTCAAATCGCCAACTGCAGAGAACAATAAGTCTCGGTTATCCTACGAAACATACCCCACTGAATTCAAAAGGCACATCAGTGAAAATTATATTAATGGAAAGTTGAAGTCAATAACAGTCTGACTAATTTAATCCTGTCAGAAAAATAGGTTTGTATGACTAATGTACAAATTAAATACCTTTCAGAAAGATTCCCCGGTACTGCTTGTAATGTCATTTTGTATGACAATCTTGTTTTTATTCTTAAAAATCAGAATGACTAAACTAATAAATATATCAAAATCACCAGAGTCAAATAGAAAACAGACAGGTTTGTTAGACTTACGTACCAATTCAACTCCTTGTAACGAGGGACGTAGCGGGTGGAGTAGCCTAGTGGTTAAAGCGTTCGCTCTTCCCGCTGAAGACCCGGTTCGATTCCCCACATGGGTACAATGTGTGAAGCCCATTTCTAATGTCCCCGCCGTGATATTGCTTGATAATACTCAAAGCGGCGTAAAACCATACTCACTCAACTCGTTACGAGAGTTGCACAAGTAGAGAGAACCAGGCAATAACAGTATATACCCACGTGTAGAGAGAACCAGGCAATAACAGTATATACCCACGTGTAGAGAGAACCAGGCAATAACAGTATATACCCACGTGTAGAGAGAACCAGCCAATAACAGTATATACCCACGTGTAGAGAGAACCAGCCAATAACAGTATATACCCACGTGTAGAGAGAACCAGCCAATAACAGTATATACCCACGTGTATAGAGAACCAGGCAATAACAGTATATACCCACGTGTAGAGAGAACCAGGCAATAACAGTATATACCCACGTGTAGAGAGAACCAGCCAATAACAGTATATACCCACGTGTGAAGGCGACCACGCCCACATGAACCACAACACGTGTTGGCTGTGACATCGATCTCCGCTAATCCCTCCCTACCACTGACGGGGGTTAGTCTCCATTTCCCGGGATTCCTTCTCCGCAGCATACAGCTCCATACTGGGACGCTGAGCGATGTTGACGACGCCTCGTCACACACTTCATCAACAGAGGTCCGTGCGCTCTCGCAGATTGAACACCTCTCCGATGCAAGGTTAAGCACTGCGAACAGCATAAACGGTAACGCGATGGACGGATCAGGAGCTATCAAAGTTGTTTGGAAACAAACGTTCCGTGGCAAGACTTATGTTTGAACAATTTTATTCTGACATTAACAAAGTCATTTGACAGAGCAACATGCTTATGTAGCCAAGAGTTGTATGTTCATTTTGATACTGCTGCCATTCGTGATTGATGACAAGTGCGTCGATGATTTATGGCTGTGGACTTACCAAGAGAGCTCATATAAATATAACACGAAGAATCGGCGCGGATTTGACTATAAGGAGCTCTCAAAGTGGAAACGGTAAAACTTTCCGATTTCATTTCATGAGCGTTGAGGGTCGAAACTTGTGACGTGTGTACTTTGGCAATATTTTGCATCTGGACAATATTTTTGTGTCAGAAGGTGTTGTGTGTTGAGTCCAACTCTTACAGAAGGAACACAGGGAGTACACTTGATACAACACCAGCTGTATTGGAAGACTGGAGAAAGATGTCAGGAAAGTCTTCTCGTATGGGCACAGATAACGCTACAAAACTGTGCATGAACTGACATGTTTTAATCTTCATTTAACAAATCATGAGCAATTGACCATCCAATCAGCTTATTGATGACCCTCAGGACATATTTGATAACAAATGATATGTTGATTACATAAATCCTCTTTCAACCATTTGGAAAATCAAAGAAACTTGGAAACTCGAAAACTGTCTTTATTATCCCTTGACAAAGACAATAATCTGGAAGACATCACAGATCCATCGCTGCCCTTTCCGAATATTAAGCTTCGGAGTCAACACGCATCACTACTGTTTGAAGCAAGAGATGAGGCGAGCAAGCAGGATGTATGCTAATGGTGATGGCATCGTGTGTATCGGACGTTAAAGTCAAACTTTATTGTAATTACATTAGGAGGACGAAGCTGCTGATGCTGGCCCAAATTAGGATCACTAGAGCCGTCATCCTCCTCTCACAAGCTCCACGTGGGATGCAGAAGCGTTACGCATCCCTGTTACAGCAACAGCGCTAGTCTTCTATCGCTAACCAAACATCAATGTTTTTCATAGTTCTCGACGGGCTTACACTTGATCCCTTGCAGGTAATCTGGTTATGAGATAAGCTACTCTAACTCGCAAGATAGACGAGTTATCTTTCAGCAGGGACGTTAGTGTAACGTGCGTTTGTATGTTAAGCCCACCAACAAGCTGGTATGTTGTCTGTGGAATCGAGTATGGGACCAAACAAGGTAGGTGAAGTCTAGGCATCACAGTTTGTATGTTAGAATATGATAAGATGGGATGAAAAGGGGTTTTATGTCGCGTTCAAGATTATTGCACTTATAAAGCGACGTGCATCAGATATATGTGTGTGTGTGTGTGTGTGTGTGTGTGTGTGTGTGTGTGTGTGGATGATTGTGTAGGTTGAAGTTCTTTAGTGTTAGCTCACTGAGATACCATCACGCAGTTTAACATGGATTCCCACTCAGACACATTATTTCGATCCTGAGCCCACCAGTCCTTGTTTTATCCCCTTAATGCCGAGCGCTAGCCGGGGTAACAACAAATACCATCTGTTAACGTCTTTTGGTGGGGCGAGGCCTAGGATCGAACCATCGACCTTCTGCCCTCTAGGTTCAACATAAAAAGGTTCATATACTTCTTATGAAACATGAATATATAACTTGATTTAGTCACGATATGGCTGAAATATTGCCGATGTGACTATAAACCATAACTCACTCACTCACTCTTATGAAACAATCTGGACAGAGTAGGTCTTTTTCCGTAGGAAAGGTATGCCCTGTAAACTGAAACAGCTTTTATTGTCTGAGGACATAAATAATAGCGACAAAACCCTCAAAACTCTCAGTCCAGTGGATGCTTATATACATGTATGTACATCACAAATAATGTCATGTATTTATGCGCTAGGTTAATAAAGATTGAAAATATATGGAATTTATAAGAAGTATTATGAAAATGGATTTTTTTCTGAAAATAATGCATATAATATGAATATAAACCCTCTAGCGATTTACAAGTAGCGTGGGTAGTGTACTTCCCATGGAGCTGAGAATGCAATTTAAATACACAGAGGTCAGATGATTAGGCTTCTACATGTTATTCACTTTCAGTCTGCTTCTCGATGGAGAATGTTTTTTTTTCAGTTTTAATTTATTTTGTATAAATGTGTAATAATATGATTAATGTTTAACATTTGAATAATTTAATATTTCAAAAACAGTTAATGTCAGTTAAAATCAATAAGAAGAAAATGCGATTTTCAATTATTAGCTGCAGCATATTACACTCTCTGCAGGGGCTTCATCGAGGATGATAGGATTAATAATATTAACATGTAATAACGCAAAATGTGCTACATGGCTGAGTCCAGTGTTTCTTTATAAGGTTCATCGGTGTTGTTTTAGTTCTGTTAAATAGGGACGGTGCCATTTTTTAGTCCCAACCAATATGTTTCCAGTCTTGTTAACCTTCTAGCGCCTCACAGGCAACTTGGGTTGTATACTCCCCAGGGAGCTGAGAATGAAAATTGAGTGCTCACTGATCCATTGACCGGGGTAATAATAGTGTAGAGCTATGAGCATCCACTTGGTGATTGGAATCTGGCGCATTATAAATTCACTTATATTATTATTATTATTATTATTATTATTATTATTACTATTATTATTATTATTATTAAGAGAATCAACATAATTGCTACCCCGTGAATATCTTGGTTAGAACTGGACTCCAGCTACTCATAAGTGACAGCTAACGGGTTCGGGTGGTCAGGCTCGCTGCCTTGGTTGAGGCATGTGGTCGTGGGGTAGCCTTGCGGTTAAAGCGTTCGCTCGTCACGCCGAAGACCCAGTGTCTACGTTTGAAGCCAATTTCTGGTGTCCACCGCCGTGATAGTGGTGAAATATTGATTAAAGCGACGTAAAACCATCCTCACTCACTCACCTCCTCACTACAATTGAACAAGCGAACCTTATCATTAGTAGAATTGTACTTGTAGACGATCTTTTCAGTTACGCTTACTGCGCTTAACAAAAATAGTAATCGATTCTAACCCTCACTGTCTTGTAATTGTACTACGCTAATCTTTCTAGCCACTAATCGTGCTAATGTTAGTTATTAACGCCAGACTAACAACAGCGTGCTGGGTGAGGGAGTAGGGTTATTTTGTCCTCCTCCGACGATGAGCCATAACGACGTTTTTAATATCATTCTCACATGTCTCTATGTATTGATTTATTCACTGTTTGCTCAAGAGCGGCGGATGAACATGTACGCGTAACATAGGCCGTCGTGTAACACAGGTGCTAGTGACATCCGAGTCGTTGATCAATCGATACGCTTATACATGTATTAACTTTATTAATCTCAATTTATTTATCTATTCTAACTTATACGTCTGTCGATGGGGGCATGCATATCACATTCATTTGAGATGACCTACTTAATTAAAATATGATATATACGATAATGTGTGATAAAGAGTTAGTGTGATTGAACACCGCGTTTAATAATAACATTTATATTTCCAAAATCACGCCGGAGGGACATAAGCTTCACAAACTCCAATTGTACCCGTCTTGGAGTGGGGGTAGGTGAGTATGGTTTTTCGCCGCTTTTAGCAATATTGCAGCAGTATCACGACGGCGGACAAAACAAATGGGGTTCTCACATTGTACCCATGTGGGATATCGAACCCGGGTCTTAAGGCAAACGCTTTAACCACTAGGCTATTCCCGCCCCATATGATGAACCAATTGTTACGAAATGGTACGAAAGTCTTTGAGGTTTTAAAAAAAAGTGAACTTGAAGTGTCACTATCGAATTAATGTTTATCCCATAGAACGACGCAAATTTGATCCTGGACATTAGCTCAAATATCCATTCGTGTGTGTAACGTTACTGCAAGAGGTTCGTAGGTATCGATATCGTATCCAGGTAGATCATGAGATGTATATGGTGTCAGCTTTACTGTCGAGTGTGTCAATTTGGTTACACGACGCTTTGAACAGTTCTATCTATTAATAAACCACCTCTCCTCTCTCTCTCTCTCTCTCTCTCTCTCTCTCTCTCTCTCTCTCTCTGTTTCTTCAACTTCCCCCTCTCTCTATCTCTCCCTCTCTTTCTATCTCTTATTTTTATCTCTCTCTCATGTCTCTGTCTCTCTGTTTCTTCAACTTCCCCCTCTCTCTATCTCTCCCTCTCTTTCTATCTCTTATTTTTATCTCTCTCCCTCTCTCTGTTTCTTCAACTTCCCCCTCTCTCTATCTCTCCCTCTCTTTCTATCTCTTATTTTTATCTCTCTCTCTCTCTCTGTTTCTTCAACTTCCCCCTCTCTCTATCTCTCCCTCTCTTTCTATCTCTTATTTTTATCTCTCTCCTCTCCCTCTCTCTCTGTTTCTTCAACTTCCCCCTCTCTCTATCTCTCCCTCTCTTTCTATCTCTTATTTTTATCTCCCCCCCTCTCTCTCTCTCTCTCTCTGTTTCTTCAACTTCCCCCTCTCTCTATCTCTACCTCTCTTTCTATCTCTTATTTTTATCTCTCTGTACTCTCTCTCTCTCTCTCTCTCTGTCTGTTTCTTCAACTTCCCCCTCTCTATCTCTCCCTCTCTTTCTATCTCATATTTTTATATCTCTCTCCTCTCTCTCTCTCTCTCTCTGTTTCTTCAACTTCCCCCTCTCTCTATCTCTCCCTCTCTTTCTATCTCTTATTTTTATCTCTCTCTCCTCTCTCTCTCTCTCTCTCTCTGTTTCTTCAACTTCCCCCTCTCTCTATCTCTCCCTCTCTTTCTATCTCTTATTTCTCTCTCTCTCTCTCTCTCTCTCTCTGTTTCTTCAACTTCCCCCTCTCTCTCCCTCTTTCTATCTATCTCTCTCTCTCTCTCTCTCTCTCTCTCTATATATATATATATATATATATATATAGAGAGAGAGAGAGAGAGAGAGAGAGAGAGAGATAAAAATATATTTATATATATCACGACGTATCAGCTTGTTCTTGGAGGAAAGCCCGAAACGATGCGAGTCTGAGACGATTACTTCTAAGGTGATACGCACTGGCACAGGTATGGTGCTGACAAACGTAAAAACATGCACATCGAATAACACGACGTTAGACCCAATCAAATCACAGCCCTGTCCGAGAGCACTTTGTAGTTACAGAGGTAGAGAACACAGAGATCGAGTCCAGAATAACGGATATTTATCAAAATATATGTTATACACTCGATAACCATTGGACGGCCGGTAGCGGGAGATGCTTATGTTCATATAGGCATTGCTAAATAGACGCAGTTGGGCCAATGTCAATTTTTAACGCTGCACTTTTAAATTTCCGACGTAAAATGCAAAGCGGCGTAAAGCCGAATTGACAAACCTTGATAAAGTCGAAGTCTCGATACACACGCGAATAGACACATGAGCAAACTCTTTAAGTTCTGTTTTGATGACAAAAAGTCCTCACGGCCTACATCAAATTGGCGTCATTCTGAACCATGGGGACAATTACACTTTGAAATACTGTTCAATGTGGTGTTTAACCCAACATAATCACTTAAAGTTCTTGAAATCCTACTTTCATCTCTGTGTTTTTCATATTCTCTTACACATACAGATTAGTTTAACTACACGCCAACGAACTCGGAGACAGCTCTAGGAATTGATCTAACTTCTCATTATACTCAACAACAACTAATCTGAGAACATCTCCCGAAATATGATCGTTCATTATTGTCCCAGAAACGGTTATTGCTGAAGCCTGATAACGCAAGTTAGATACATTATTTGAAATTATTTATGGGTCTTCTGTTTATGAGATTACCGTGGTGTATTGCGAAAGAACCTGGATTGGCTGAAATCCGTCGCCCCATGCGATTACAACTCTACACCATTGTATTTTGCATGTATTTAGTGTCAGTGTGAAAATAAGGATGAAGTCCACTGTCTGCGTGATTGATCACGCGAGATTTATTTACCGAATAATCATTACTCGTTATTTAACCGCTGCAGTATGCAGTATGTTTCAAACCTAGCTGACTAAACAACAGACTTGCGTAACTTAACATCTAGTTTTTAAAGCAACAGTCAAACTGTATTTCTTCAAGTTGACTACACAAACTATTTAAGCTGCTTATATGAATAACTAAATAAATAACTAAATAAATAAATTTAAAAAAATAAAATAAAAAATAAATAAATAAATAAATAAATAAATAAATAAATAAAT